CACTAACGGAGACATGTTAAGTTTATGCTGAAAGTAACTTCTCCAAGCAATCGTGATAGTAACAGGGACATAACCTTGAGGCCAGGAAAATCAATTGTTTCTGCTTTTGCAATTTTAATGTCACGTAAAGGAGAAAGTGCCCTGGGAAAAGTTTATGTTGATACATTACGCAGGTATTTTAAAAATAATAGTAGGTTATCCTTAAAATATTTATTGATCACAAACTTGAAGTAGACATTTAACATTCGAACCATCATTAAAAAGACACAACGAAGAACGTTCTTTCTGCGTCAATTCAGGAAATTCAGACTGCCTCAGGAATTGTTAATACAGTTTTACAGAATAATTATTTAATCTGTCATTTGTACTTCTATAACTGCCTGGTTTGGTACAGCAATCAGACTCCATCAAATAATTAAGACTGCAGAAAGAACAATTGCAACCAGCCTGCTTTCCATAGAAGATTTGTACATTGCACGGGTCTGAGGCCTGAGAAAATATCTAGACCCCCTCATATCCTGGCCATAAACGGTTTCAACTCCTCCCCTTGGGATGGTGCTATAGGGAATTGCATGCTGAAACAACTAGACACAGGGACACTTTTTTCCTCCCTGCCATCACTCTGGTGAACACGTAATTCTTACAGTGTTAATATCTATGTATATTTACCGATGTAGTGTGGTTATATTATTATTTATCCTTATTTTCTTTAACCCCCCCCTTTATTGGTATGATGATGATGATCCTGTTGCTTTGCATGAACGAAGAGTGCTTCTGTAGTGGAGACAAATACCTTGTGTGTCAAATCACTCTTGGCCAAATAAAGTTTAATTTAATTCAATTCAAACTAAAGAATTTGAGAGGATGAATTTATCTCTATTACTTTTTGCCAAAATCATTTAAGCATCTCAAAAACATATTATTCTCCAAAATTTATTACCCTTCGTATACTTAAAGTCTTATCTACAGTATCTTGAAAAATTGCTTAATCCCCTGAATAATTGTACAAATTTTTCAGTTTTAATCCTTCTTCCACAACTTTTAACCACTATTAACTAGAAATATTTAAAATACTGAATTTTTATTCATTCTGAAGTTTTTTTAGAACACAAACGTAAAAAGGCAGATATTGCTGCAAGTGGTTTGAATTTGAAAAAAAAGTACCAGTGCCCATTTAATATGATGATGATGATGTTATCCATTCAGGTGTGTACAGGATATGAGATTTACAAGCGCAGTAACGTGCTCTGATTTGAGAAGTGCAAAATCAGACATGTATTTTTTTTCCATAAGAATTGAAATTCTTTCTCACATAATCCCCAAAGAACACACCAGCTCACACATAAAGCTCTATTCAGAGCACCACTGGGGTATTCTAACTNAAAAAGACCTTTCTTAAATGGGAACAGAATTCTGGGAAAAATGACCAGCATAAGGCCATATACAGTTAAGGATAGGGAGAAACCCCCAATCCTTCCTGGACAGGCAGCTCAGCTGTGCACAAGATGGGAACCTGCTGCATTCTAAGTTCCCCTTCAGTCAAATTATTCTCCAAAGCACCAGAGAGCAGGACAAGAAATAATGGTATGGTATAGGATAGGATAGGACAGGACAAGAGCTGGAAGGGACCTTGGAGGTCTTCTAGTCCAACCCCTGCTCAAGCAGGAGAATCTATACCATTTCAGACAAGTGACTGTCTAGTCTCTTAAAAACTTCCAGTGATGGAGCGACCACGATTTCTGAAGGCAAGCTGTTCCACCGGTTAATTCTCCTCACTGTTAGGAAGTTTCTCCTTAATTCCAGGTTGCTTCTCTCTTTGGTCAGTTTCCAACCATTGTTTCTTGTCCTGCCCTCTGGTGCTCTGGAAAATAGTTTGATGCCCTCTTCTTTGTGGCAGCCTCTCAAATACAGGAATACTGCTATCATGTCGCCCGTTTATTCTTTTCTTTATACTGGCCAAACCCAAGTCCTGCAGCCATTCTTCATATGTTTTAGTCTCCAGGCTTTTGATCATTTTAGCTGCTCTTCTCTGAACTTTTTCCAGTCTCAACATCTTTTTTGTAGTATGGTGACCAAAACTGGTTGCAGTATTCCAGGTGTGGTCTTACTACGGTTTTATAAAACAGTAGTAATACTTCACATGATCTTGATTCTGTGCCTGTTTATACAACCCAGGATTGTATTAGCTTTTTTGGCTGCTGCTGCACACTGCTGGCTCATAGTCAAGTGATTGTCCACTAGGACTCCAAGGTCCCTCTCACAGTTACTGTTTTTGAGCCAGGTCTCACCTAATCTGTACTTATACCTTTGATTTTTCCTGCCTAAATGTAAAACTCTGCTTTTCTCCACATTAAAATTCATTTTGTTGGATAGGGCCCATTGTTCAAGTTTGTCAAGATCTTTTTGGATCCTGAGCTTGTCTTCTGGGGTGTTGGCTCTTCCTGGCAGTTTAGTGTCATCTGCAAATTTGATGAGTTCCCCTTCTATTTCCTCATCTAAGTCATGAGTTATGAAGATATTGAAGAGTACTGGGCCTCAGATGGAGCCTTGTGGCACCCCACTGCTTACTTCTCTCCAATGTGGATGTAGTGCCATTGAGGACTACTCACTGAGCATGGTTTGTCAGCCAGCTACAGATTCATCTGGTGGTGGTGGTCTATCCCACATTTTTCTAGCTTACTAAGCACAGGTTGTGGTCTACTTTGTCAAATGCCTTACTGAGGTCTAAGTATATTATGTCCACAGTGTTTCGCTGCTCTACTAATTTAGTCATTTTGTCAAATAATGAAATAAGATTGGTTTGGCATGATGTTTTTAACAAACCCGTTAAAAACTGGTTATAACTTTGTTTGTTTCTAGTTGTTCACAGATCTGTTTTTTGATTATCTTTTCCAGGATCTTCCCAGGTATTGATTTTAGACTGATTGGTCTGTAGTTTCCTGGGTCTGTTTTTTTTTTCATTTCTTGAAGATGGGAACCACATTAGCCCTTTTCCAATCCTCAGGTACTTCCCCAGTGCTCCAAGATATGGTGCAATGGTTCTGAGATAACATTTGCCAGCTCCTTCAGAACTCTGGGATGTAATCTGTCGGGTCCCAGTGATTTATATTCATCAAGGTCGGATAGGTGTTCTCTTACCATTTTCTTGCTTATTTTAATTTTTGTTTCTAGTTTGTCTTTTGCAGTAGTTTTTTGGGTATGTTGGGCTATAATTTCTTTTTCTGTGAAGACTGATGCAAAGAATGAGTTAAGCAGCTCTGCTTTCTGTACTGCCTGTTACTTCCTTGCCATTTTCTCTCTTTAGTGGACCTACAGTTTCCTTGATTTTTTTCTTGTTATTAATATGTTGAAATAAACTTTTTTTATTGTCCTTGATTTCTGTTGCAAGTCTTCGTTCATTCTGATCCTTTGCTTTCCTGACTTTGCATGTTTTGGCTGTGTGTTGGTAATCAGCCTTAGTTATGTGTCCCTCTTTCCATTTTTTGTACTTGTCCTTTTGGAAACTAATCAAAGAGAGAAGCAACCTGGAATTAAGGAGAAAGTTCCTAACAGTGAGTACAATTAACCAGTGGAACAGCCTGCCTTCAGAAATCGTGGTCGCTCCATCACTGGAAGTTTTTAAGAAGAGACTAGACAGTCACTTATCTGAAATGGTATAGGTTCTCCTGCTTGAGCAGGGGGCTGGACTAGAAGACCCCCATGGTCCCTTTCAGCTCTGCTCTACTGTACTCTACTGTACTCTACTCTCTCCCAGTTACATGATCCAGAGTGTATGCAGTCTACCCTGGCTTTCTAGAGCAGACAAACAGGACACACAGATGCAACACACAGAGATTACAGAAATATACATACATAGGTATACCACAGTACAAGGAAAAAAAGGCGTAAAAGTATGCATCTAGTTCAATGAAACAGCTTAGCTTAAAAGATCATCCAATGAACAACAGCTTCTGCTATAACTGTCTTGAAACATTGACAATAGATTTCCTTCCATTTATTTATTTCAGAAAATTTATATTCCTGCACAACTCACTCTCAGTGACTCCAGGTGGCTTACAAAAATAAAAATCCAATATAAAAACAGTAACAAGCAATAATCCCTCTCTTCTAGTGACAAAAAATTCAATGAAATTATCCTATCCCTATGCTTGGACACAAGATGCAGCTGAAATCATGGGTACAATGGACAATGTGGGAAAGACACTTTTACTTACTAGTGTGGGTAAATGGTTTTAACCTGCTCTGTCCAGTATATTTTTGGCTCTGATTTGTTGTTTCAGATTACCATTCTATTGCAAACAGAAGCACTATGGTTCTCTCTCTCTCTCTCTCTCTCTCTCTCTCATACACACACACACACAAACACACATACAGAGGAGGGGGGAATGTATGTATCAGTGCTTGCTTTCTTAAAATATCTTCTGAAAAGAGGCTGGTAGTCATTAACAAATAGTTCAGAATGACCCTCGCAATCAAACCACCATCACTCACACCAACTGCAGCCTTTTAGATCAGGGGTCCCCAACCCCCGGTCCGTGGACCAGTATTGGATCACGGCATGCCAGCAACCGGTCTGCACCAACAAGCAAAGCCCCATCTGCGGGATGCAGGCACCACACAAAACCATGCACCCTCTAGTCCGTGGAAAAACCTCTCTCCATGGAACTGGTCCCTGGTGCCCAAAAGATTGGGGACCTCTGTTTTAGATGGATATTAAGATAAAGAGCTAGGATCTTTCAGATAAAGAATCTAGCTAGAGAAATCAAGAACAGGCAGAGTAAGCATAATTATGCTCAAAGGATTATGGGAGTTTTGTAAACACTGCTAAAGCAGACTCAGTTATAGGATGCTAAAACTGAAACAAAACACACCATATGTATGGTAATGGCTTCAGACTAAAGAATGCTTGGAAAGTAAATTTAACTGGCCAAACCCTAGCTACTTTTAAGAATATATGGCTAAAATATAGCCCAAAAAGAATCAATAATAAATTATCATTTTAGTATTTTTATTGCACAGTATGAAGAGAAGGGAGAGATACAGCATTTACAGTGAAATAACTTTATATGTGGCAACACCAGACTTCTAGAACATGTTACCATGTTACGGAGTATTATGAAGAGCTCCATGTGTTTGGAATTCCGTGAGAAGGCAATCCCTTTCTTTAGTATATTTCATCCTGTCACATTCATGTGAGCTTCTTATGTAATGCAGAACTACCTAGGCAAGCACTCCCAACTTGGTCCAAAAAAGTTTTCTAAGGTCAGAATGCAGGTCTTTTCCACCTTTATGAACTTTTAAAGTGGACATGTTAAATATTGCAAGAATGATCCATACTATGGAGTACATTTATATGACAAGTTAATTCTCCTCAAATATCTTTGGCCATAATGAGGTTATCTTATTATGATTTTGGTTTTAACCTGCCAGATTTTTCAATTATATCACAAGGCATTTAACAACTATATTTGTTTAGAATACAACCTTCTATGAATATTCCTCTCTTTGGGTATACAGAGGTAAACATGAATACCTCTGAAATACTAGCAAGTTTTAGGGCACAAATATTAAAGAGGGATCTTTGTTATTAACCTTGATAGCTGCCAGAAACGTTTGGTTACTAACAGTTAAGTGGTTAAGTTTTGATCCTTAATCACATGAGAATTCAACATTGAGGAATAGCCAAATGTGAAAATAGCAGGTAAGATAGCTTAATGGAACACTTTAGGCAAATAAAAGATCGATATTTTGATCTGGTTGACTTCTAAATGTTGTTTCGAAAACTTTTGCAAGACTGCATTTTGAACATGACTTTCCTACAACATTCACATATCAATAGATACCGGTACAGTTGAGAGATTTACTAAGCAAAATAGCCAATACATTAGCAGAATTACCTGAAATTTTAGGAACCTCAATAGAAGCAGCATTCTAATGGAAACCATTAATCCAATTTAAATAAAAGATAAAAAAAGTTTGTTATCAGTTCTTTACCTGAATTGTGGAATGAAAAACTGGAATACTCAATTTTGAAGAATCAATGGATTCTGATGTTAAGAAATATAAACCATACTTCCTATGATTTAAAAACAAAATTAATTCACCAGAAAGTATGTCATGCTTTTGTACCATTCTTAAATGTTTAAAAAGGGTTAGGCATTAGATTTTTTCATGCTAATGCTGTAAAAAGATTTGAAGGTTCCTTAATTCATATAATCTGAACTGGTTCGGCTATGTCATATTGTTTTCAAATTACTACGTATGTCAATAAATTCTGAGAAAAAAATCCTTAAAACACTTAATGTGCTGTTGAAGTATAGTTGTTATCTCATTAAGAGTTTTGGCTTTATCAAGCCTAGGCAAAGCTAAGAGAATAATTTTATCTAAATGGAAAGAGACATATCCATCTGTTTTTAAGGATTGGGTTCAGGATACAATTTTCTGTCCTTTTTAGAAGTTTGTGTGTTCTGAAATAAGATGAAATATATTTTCATCTGACATATTTAATAAGTTTATGAACTGGATTAATTTTGTATCAATGCCTATGGATATTATAGAGATCTTTTTACATTTTTGTTATTTTTCCTCTTTGTTATTTTTATTTTAAACATCACAATATATTTTGGTGTTTTTTGTTTTCTTCATTTATAATCATTGCCATTTTTCCTACTGACATTATTCTTTTTTATTTCACTATTAAAAATAATTTAAAAATCATAGAGTCATACAAAAGGAGCTATTTCCTCTCTCATATTAAACCAATGAACTAATTATGTTTAATAAATGTGCATGAACAAGCTTTTCCTTCTCTTAGGAAAAGGTTTTCTAACCAAATGAAGCTCCATTCTAACCAAATAAAAACACCACTACCTAACAGTGACATATAGGTGTTGTACAGAACAACACAAAGTTCCATTAAGGTTAACAGAATCAATGAATTTAAAAACAGACTAATTTCTGTGGAATGAGTGAAGTACCGTGAAACACTTGCTTGAGGACAATTTCAGGGGAAAGAGCCAAGAAGCAAAGAGAGTTTTTAAGATGTTGTTAGATCCTAGGTTTTCAAATTATTTTGAGAGAGGGAATACAGCACACTATAAGGGTGGAGGCATGATGTTCTTACAGCAGGAGGATCCCAAGATAGATGAAGAGCCAAGAGCTGGCACTGCCGTTAATTGCTACCTGCATGAAAGAAATAAAACAACTTAGTGGCTTCCACACATTGTGCTACACTAGAAGATGACTTGGTTGGTTTTGCTTAGTGTGATATGTGAACTATCGATTGTTAAGCAAACTAAAGTAGTGCAAACATGAATCCAGTCATTTTCTTCCTAGGGTCTCTACAAGTTAATACTAAAACCACTGCCATCTCTTGTTTTTTTTTCCAAATGAGACTTTTACTGTACAATCCTTCAACATCAATATACTTTTTAAAGAAACTGAAATTTTTCATGTTCCATTTTATAACCTCCTGTTGTCCCACAATTTTTTTGACTTTTTTTTAAATACTAAAAAAAAGAAGAGAAAAAAAACTGCACAATGCTTTTTAATTGAAAGCAGTTTATCCATTAGGAGCACTCTACGTTTTTTGTGATTTCTATTCTATATCACAAGGTACTGATTGCATTGGACATTTTTGCCCCCACTCTCTCCCCAACCGATCTTTGCTGAGACACTAATGTATTCCAGGTGTTTTAAAAAAATAAATGCCTGAATTCAGATGCATCAAAGTGTAGGGCATCTACATCTACCAGAACATTTCTCATAAAGAAATGAGACATTCAAATTTTTGAGAAACTGCATTGCAGAGAAATCACACATTACATACTATACTTGCCTCCCTTTAATAAATCAGACAGAGCCAAACAAGATTTGTTTGAGAATCTAACATTTCTCTTTCTCAATGGAATTCCAATAAAACCTTGATTTAGTGGATTTTGGATATAATTGACTAAATTTATATCTTTCACTTCCACTTCTCCCTAAATAACAAAGAGATCAATTGCATCTAAAATACTCCAGACAGTTAAAAATTAGTTAAATTTACATTCAATTTGTATCATTTGTGTAATGACATCCTTACTCAAAGATGCAAATCGCATTATTTGCCTCAATCTGCCATTATTTAATTTGCATTTTGATGGATATGCAAAATTAATGGGCATTCCCTCCCAACTGATTTGTTAAACTGAAGTTTCATTGTAATTTATTTTAAAAAAAGCACAGAATCCTTGAAAATCTTTGGAAACAAAAAAGAAACAGCAGGAAAATCCTTATCCTGTTTGCTAAAACCAAGCATCTCAACATATGGGAAATGATGTAGATAAAAAAGCATTTGAGGGCCATTTTAGTAGAGAAACAAGTCTAGAATAATTGTTATGAAGCTTTTCTTCCTGATGCTATTTGACTCCAATACTACTTTCATATATAATAACAGAGACATAGAACTGAATGTAATTTCTAATTTGGCTTCAAATTATTCTATAGATAGTATCACTACAATTCTTCCAAACATTAAAATGCTGCATTTACACTTAAATCACACTTCAGTGTATAAAACAAGAATGTTGAGTCTTTAGGAAGAAATTGCCCATATTTTAGACCACAGCTTATACATAAGAGCACAACAGTGTAAATGAAACTACAGAAGGCAGGAACACTGAATCACCTACATATAATTTGCTTTTATCTAGGCCAGGGGTGTCAAACTGCCGACCCGCAGGCTGGATGCGTCATACCAAAAACTGCGCCCACCCCATTGCCAGCAATGGGAAAAAAGTTGTGATACGTCGCAACATGTCACGTGACGTCACGAGTTTGACACCCGTGATCTAGGCCTTATTTTCTACCTAGTGGCCAACACCTAAACAGCTAGTTGAGAGGTTTTAGCCAATCTCAGTTGACCCTGAAAAGCTAAATAGGGTCACAGATATTTAGTACCTGGATGGGAAAATATTTCAGGAAATCCCAGGACTGCAGGCTAGTCTGAGGAATAAAAAAGAAATTCCAGAAGGCAACAGTGTATCTTTAAAAATAACTCCACATCAAAATGGCACAGTCGTATTTAAGATAGAGATACAAGTTTTAATCCAGTAGTTTGGGAGACAGGGATGCCTTTAAGTTAATGTTAAGTCTTAGAAACTGTGTGAATTAATCCTTGCAGTCTTCTTGGCAAGATTTCTGGAAGTGGTTTGCCACTGCCTTCTTACTGGTGCCAAGAAACTGTGACTGGCCGAAGTCACCCAGTTGGCTTTGTGTCTAAAATAGGACTAGAATTTCCAATCTCTCAGTTTCTGGCCTGATGCTTTAACTACTATATCAAATTGGCACTCAATCAAATAGTATCCATTCCAAATCTTCTGGAAGGGGATCTGAATGTACCTTATAGTGACTGAACCATTGTTTAATTCTTGTCCTTTCGAGATGAAAAACAAAGAATTTACTACATCTGTCTGTTTTTCAGATGCCAAGACGCTTTAACCCAGTAAGATTAACAGTTTTACACACAAGATAAATGAGGAGTTCTAAAAGTTGATATATGGTAATATTCTGTTGATCACTCTATAGCTTATTTTCCTTTTAATTAAATTGTGAGCTACTGGAAATATACATAGAGCTAATACGGATATTTTTCAGAGTGCAAAGGATTTCTACTGCTCAGAAAGAAGACAATAGCATAAAATTAATAAACATCATTAAAATGCATGTATATATTTAGAGATACAAATATGTATATCAAAAAAGTTTCAAAACAAAGCTATAGATGCCTCAATTGCAACTGGGGTACTCCGTTTTAATTAGGAATTAAGATTCTTGCTACATCTAAATATAGATTGCCATAGTAATTTTTAACCATATAGGCAAAAATTCAAACTTTCTCCTTATTTTCATATTAGAACAAACTGTATTACAATTTTGTTCATAGTTTGTCAAAACAATATAGACAAAGATACAATCTAAAGATAACTAAGATTCTTTGTGTGTGTTCTGCAGATCTCCTCACTTTAGTACTGCTTTTGTGAAAAAATATTACAAGAATTCTTACTTGACTTCTTCGAAAATAAAATTCTATTTCTAGTCATAATATCAGAGGAAGTATAATTCAAATGTGTCCTCTCTCTCACCTTTATTCTGTTTCCATTAAAAAAAATTCTTAAACAATTTTTAGACATTTATGTCAGTGTGCTGTTGAATATTTAATCTAACAATATTTGACATTCCTTTTATGATCCTTTTGCTAATTATTTTCATTTTAATATAAATGGGTCTCTAATGACTAACATATTAACATTAATACTGTAAATTAAAGATCTGATGTTATGAAGCTAACGTTTGAAATTACTTTTCTTTATGATCAGTAGAAAATACTTCAATTATAAAACATAATTGTCTTATTTATCAATAGGTTTGGCCTAGCAGAAGAGGCAGTTTCCACATTTACAGTATTGAAGCTATTAACCTAAAAAGGAAAACTTTATCAGGATAATACCTGCAAAATGAAAGTCTTACTATTTTCCCTGAAAACTAAATCAATATTAAATAAACTGGCTCTTGAAACTAGGAATTAGAAAGAAAACATTTAAAGCCTTAAGGACTTTTTGATAATATCAAAAATCATATACTGATATAAGCTCTGACAAACCTCCATAATAAGGATTGTTTTTTAGATAACGGATTATATATAGTGCCATATAAAAATGCAGCAATGTGAGTTTTCTATGCACACATTCAAGTACACAATATTTTTTCTGTTGCATTATATTGCTGTGCAAGGCATTATTGTCAAATAACAAGTCAAAGCATTTTTTTCAATTATTACATAGGACTAGAAAGTGATCTTACAAAAAAGTACCCTTTTACTATACAATTTTATAATCTAACTGCAGTCATAGTGCAACACTCTTTGTAATTTATGACTTGTAATCAAGCATATTTTGGCAAAATAATTACAAAAACTCACACCAAAAATGCATAATGCCAGTCCTTCAAAGTCCTCTGTTCTTGCTATTTTAAATCCCTTAACAGATCTTTCTAAATAAATAATTGGCTACATAGATTTAGAGGAGTTTGGAAACTGAAACAAAGCATTGTTGAATGCAAGTATGTATCAAGGTTGATGAATTATCTGTTAGCTTTATACTTGGAAGCATCCCTCGGTTCACTGCTAGGGTTACTCCAATCATCCGCTTCTGGAGTGGTTTTGTAATGTCGCCAAGCTGACTTATTAAAAACTGGTAGTCTTTCAAATGATTCACTTGATAGTGCCTAAAAAAAGAAACAGGAACAAAAACATGCTTCAGATCATTCCAACTGGTTACAAGAAAATTCAATAAAGACAGATCATCATCCTAAATGAAGAAAGAGTGTATATGCTCAATACAGATTCAATGGAACGTGTATTTTATTTCATATTTTGTATTTTCAATCTTTATTTCACTTTCTGTACTTTTGTTTGTACTGCAGCATGCGGATTTATACCTTCTTACTAAAGACACATAATCCTGTTTAGTTACTGAAGCCCTACAATATAATATATTCCAACTCAGATTTGGAATTTGCTTCAATAATGAAACATTCCATTCTCTATTAGCTGGAATTATGCTTTCTATATCATTGTTTCCATTTAGGAACAGCTTTATTGGAAAGAATAAACAGAGAAAAGTTTAGTAATGTTACAATTGAACTTAGTTACCAATCTGGTTCCAAAGGCCATTTTATTATCTATGAATAAAGGGTTCAAAAAATGTTCCCCGAATGTGGAAAAATATTATCTTGAATAAATCAGAATGACTTCTATTACAAATGCATAGCAATAAAGCACTTGCCAAAATATAATCAGCTATAAAACTTCAAAAGTTAGTAAGAGTACTAACTTCCCATATTGTTCCCGTACAATAATCCATTATTACCTTCAGATAGATTACTGCATCTGTACCCACTCCTTCCATAGAATATAGTTTGAGGTCACCTTGAAAATATCGAGCATAAAGACGAGAAATTGGCAGGCCGTACCCATATCCAGCCTAAGAAAAAAATCAATAACATAAGAATTCAAAAACCTGAAATGTTAACCCTGACAGAGACAAGAATCTTCACAGAAATTCCTGTTTTTAGAATTAAAAATAACTTCTACTGTTTCCCATCAATTATGTGATGGGCAGATTATCCAAAGTTTTATCTCCTATTTTGTGCCACAGTATTCTATTGATAGATTACAACTGTCTCTCCTTATACTTAAATTAATCAACAACCTGCCCCGTTTAACAATGGAGAACTGTTCATTCAATTTTTGTAACATTTCTACTCTTGAATTTGGAATTAATATGCCTTACTGTATTTTAAAATGCCTAATGGCAGAGAACAAAAAGCATTTGTTATGCTATGCAATTATTCCTTTTTACATAAACATGAAAATTACACGCATAAAATGGCATTTGCTCTTTTAACATATGTAGAATCTCACTCACATTTAAGGTATATCAGGTCTAATGGACACTCCTTTCCTCCTATTAGTCTGTTAAATTGAGGCTTTATTATGTAGATGAAATTGACAAGTAGTGACTTTCAAATGCCACCTTAGTGTCATCTGCAAATTTGATGAGTTCCACTAATATTCCCTCATCTAAGTCATTTATGAAGATATTGAAGAGTACCGGGCCTAAGACAGAACCTTGTGGTACCCCACTGTTTCCTTCCTTCCATGTAGTATAGTACCATTAAGGATTACTCATTGAGTATGGTTTGTCAGTCATCTGATGGTGATGCTGTCTATCTCACATTTTTCTAATTCACCAAGAAGTAGGTTGTGGTCTATTTAGTCGAATGCCTTGCTGAAAATCTAAATATACTCTGTCCACAGCATTTCGCTGGTCTGCTAATTTAGTCACTTTATCAAAGAATTAAATAAAATTGGTTTGGCATGATCTGTTTTTAACAAACCTGTGCTGGCTACTAGTTATAACTTTGTTTCTAGATGTTCACAGATCTGTTTTTTTTATTATTTTTCCAGTATTGATATTGGGCTGATTGGTCTGTAGTTTCCTGGATCTGTTTTTTCCCCTTTTTTGAAGATGGAAACCACATCAGCTCTTTTCCAATCCTCTGGTAGTTCCCTGGTGCGCCAGGATTTTTTAAAGATATGGTACAGTGGTTCTGAGATAACATCTGCCAGCTCCTTCAGAACTCTGGGATGTAATCCATCAGGTCCTGGTGATTTATATTCATCAATATGATAATGAATACAAGACAGGTGTTCTTTTACCATTTTCTTGCTTATTTTAATTATTTCTAGTCTGTCTTTTACAGTTATGTGTTTGGTAGGTTGGGCTATAGTTTCTTTTTGTGTGAAGACTGATGCAAAGAATGAGTTAAGCAGCTCTGCTTTCTCTCTACTGCCTGTTATTTCCTTGCCATCTTCTCTCTTTAGTGGACCTACAGTTTCCTTGACTTTTTCTTGCTGCTTATATGTTGAAAGAATCTTTTTATTATCTTTGATTTTTGTTGCAAGTCTTTGTTCATTCTGAGTCTTTTGCTTTCCTGACTTCATCTTTGCAGATTCTGGCTATCTGCTGATATTCTGCCTTAGTTATGTGTCCCTCTTTCCATTTTTTTGTAATTATCCCTTTTGTCTTTCAGTTTATCAAAGAGATCTTTGTGCAGCCATCCTGGTTTCTTCTTGGATTTCTTGTTTGCCTTTTTCAATGGTATTCTTTTGGACTGGCTTTTATGATCACATTTTTCAGAATTTCACATACTTTAGTTGTTTTCCCCTTTAGGATGTTTATCCATGGAATTTTTCTTAGGCTCTGAGTTTGTTAAAATCTTTTGCTTCCTCACTGGATGTTGGCCTTTTGTTGGAAGTATAGATGAAAACACCACTTGTGCTCTAATTCTTTAACTTTCTTCCCCAGCTGTTCATAATGTCTTGTTATTGTTTTCAGATTCATTGTTGTGTCACTGGTCCTCACATGTGAGAGAAGAAAGGGGTAGTAATCCATGGGGTTATTTTAGTAAGGTACTCAGTTACACCTTTGATTTTTGCTCCAGGGAGACAATATACCTTCCTAGATTGATTGCCTGGTCTGCAAACTATAGTTTCTGTTCCCCTAAGAATTGAATCTCCTATTACCAACAGTCACCTTTTTTTCTTAGGGAAATCTGGGATACTTTTCTTCCTGTCGCGGGAATGCTGGGTTGTGTCTCTTTTTAAGAAACTGATGAATACTCTTTTGTGGATGTCTGCATATTTTCTTTCAGGGGGAGGCTATGAAAGCAATTGTTCAGTTCCAGAAGTGCTTCATTGGAGTGGGTTAGGGTAGATACTAAGGGCTTTGCTCTTGGTTGTTGTTTTCTTCTAAAAGTGATGTGTTTTCATTGGTCTTGGTCTTTAGCTATATATGTAGGGTCATTTTTTACAGAAGCTGTTTGTTCCTTATTGTGTTCAATTTGGGTGTATCGACTTTCTTCTTTATGTTCATATATGGGGTCATTTTTTAAAGAAGCTGTTTGTTCCCTATTGTGTTTTATTTTGGTGTTGTCTTCTTGTTTAGGTTGGGATTTCTCACTTATTTAACATCTCAACTAGAATTATGAATAGTTTAAATTAAAGAACTTAAAATCCTTTAGGAATATTCAATTTGGTTTGTGCTACTATTACTTACTTACTATCATAAGAGGGAGAGTTGGAAGAATAAGTTCAAAATCCACTTCACTAGATAGTTTTACTCTTCTGATTTCATTTTTACCTGAATGTTTACTGAATGGTACCCCATCAAGGATTTTATTCAAACAGTTCAAGGCTGTTTCTTAGTTTAAATTCTGCTATTTTCCTCAATACTGAATCAAAGCCACAGAATTCATGTTCAGCACATTTGAAAATTGTGAGCATACTGCTTTCATGAAATGTATGGAAATGGCAACATGGAAAGTAATCACATACCTGCTATTATACAAACAGTGATTTATATAAACTGATGCATGCATTTGGTATCTGATAATCAAAAAATACAAAATATAAAAAAATCAGAAAGAATTCTATAGGAATACATGAGAATTACTGGACTGCTATAATTTAGACTGTATTATGTATGTATTATTATGACGACATCTCAAGTGAAGAGCTTGTGTTCATATTACAAACTATTATTCCCTTAATGTGCTTTATGTTGAAAAACAATCCAGGGAGCATTTTAGCTTGCAGAAAAGAACTTACCAAAGGTACAGCTCTTGATGGCTCCAAACTAGGCCTGGGAGCAGTTGAATACATATAATTGAAAAGGCGATCTATTTTTCTCAGAGGTACACCACCACCTTTATCACTTATCTACAGAATAAAACCAGAAATTGATATAACACAATGACCTCCAAGGAACTAACAGAATGTACCATATTTCTCTACAATTTCCACAGCTTAAATTTACAGATCTAGGGAAGAGAGATTGAGACGCAGCAATTCTGAAACATAAAATAAATTCATCATTTATGAAGTAAGCCCAATATCCAGCCTCCCTATACTGATAGACACTATCCTAACTATACTGTATTGAAAAGTAGGTGACCCACGTTAGAAAAGCCTACTCAATTCATCAAGGTGCTATAAACTAAAATGAATGTGTAAATAAATATTCAAAGAGCCAAATAGTCATAATAATTTGAAATAAAATTCTACCTGAGAAAATTAACACCAATATCTTATCATAAAAATTTCTCAAGCTATGTTCCCTTTTATGTTAACTACATTATTCACAAAGGTACTTACTCAATATATACAGTTATTTTCTACCTCAGTTAACAAAACAAGATTTTTTAAATTTTAGTATATTATTTACCTTTATTGACAGGTCTTCTTTTCCCAAAGTGACTAATGTTTTAATTGATGGATAGCTTTCACATTTCCCTTCATGCAGTTCTACTGTAGCTCGCATTGAATTCTGCAATTCGAAGCAAAACTTTTAAAGACGCTTAACTCATGTTAGTGGCAACACCAGAAAATTTTACAAATTCTGGTCATCTTTAAATTTAAAACTATGCACTTCTCTATCAGTTATATACAATTTAAAAAAGAAGACAGTAACCTGAATGTTTTCATTATAAAGTATTCAAGTGTATAAATGACACTATGTAAACATTTTTTCTTGTCATGCAAGTAGGAGCATATTTCTTTGTACAAAAATTACTGCAATTATAATAGAAGCCTAATCTTATTAATGTAATTATATTTTTAAATTGAAGCTCAATCTGTCTTGTGAGCAGGAACTGCAAGTCTGACATAGAGTCAGCCAGCCTGCTTGGCAGATAGCTGTAGACATATAATCCACATTTTCATGAGAGATATCCTTTGTCATGTTCATAGAGAGATACCCCAGTCCATTCTCCTATTTAAAGTGTATAAAATATTGCTCTAAGTTGCTCTACTTTTAAAACCAGGACAAAATTTGCGCAACCAAAGCTGAGAAGAGAGAAGAATTATTTCCAAGAGCTTCAATTTAAAGTTTCAGATTTTAATAGGAAAAAAAGAACTCTAAAAAATTGAAAAGATTCTTTCAATACTAGTTCTAAGAGAATAATTAACAAATCTCGTAAGGAATTTTCATTGAAATGTGGATGTTTCTCTGTGTAAGCTCAGAAATTTTGTTTATGGATGTTTGTTTATTTTTCAGGTTTTATAGATCACTTCAGTTAGAAACATTTAACATACTATGGCAGACACCTGGCTAAGCATACAGAGTATACCAAGTGGATTGTACTCATTGATCCTAGTCTCATCAGATGTTATTCACAATAGCAATCCTTTTTTTATCCATGTTGGGACTCAGACCTGAAACCTGGATAAAATGGGTCCAGATAATCAGCTTTTCCAGTTCTGAAGCCTCAACAATCTTTGCCCCAAAGAGGAGGTTGCATTGCGTATTACTGCTAAAATGTTCAGACTGAGCAATGGTTTCTTGTGGAGGAGGTGCCCTTCAAGGAAGATGCAGTCCCTCTTCACTCACAGGATAGATTTACAACTGCTCTAATCCAGGCACTTCTCATTTCCTGGGGTTTTCATTACCCAAAAATGACAGAAATTCAGACTGCATGTGGAAGAGGTGACGCTGCAGAAAAAGTTATCCACTTCTTTTGTGCCATAAAATCAACCTGGTATTATCCGGCATATTTACTTACTTTAACATGAACTAGTATTTCTGTATCTAAAATTAGATATTCAAAGTTATCATTATTTTTAAATTTAATGTTGACATCATTTTCATTTCTTGTTATTAGTTTATCTCCCAGGGGTAGGCTGAAACGTCTAACCATACCTTGATGCCATGAGCGCAGAGATTATACTACAGGAATTAAATTAGATTTGCTTTTTCATCAGAAAAGCAAAATAAGGTATGAGAGCCATATGCTTCTTATATATCAGGATTTGAAAAGTGGATGCCAGGATGGGGCAACCCCCTAAAAATTAGCTGAGGCAACAGGAACTACCAAGTCACTATTCCAAAACAGAAAGTAGGGTCAAGATGTGAAGATTCAAATGACTTCCTGGAGGTGAGGTTTGCAACCTTCATCCATCCATTCCATGGGCTATCTGATATTAACTATTTTCATGAAATAACAATAAATGAAACAGAAGAGATGAGTTTCCAATTTCAGATAGTAACACATTTAGCATCTAAAAGTTTCCCCATGTTGTTAAAATCTGTTGCTGAAATCTGACCTTTAATTAGCATGCAGAGTTTGCAATCAAAGGCAATATTGCATCTAAAAGTGTATCTACAGCTATATTCAGGGTGAAGCGTGATAACACTATTTCTGGCAAACTCAAAAAGAAGCCAAATAATATCCCCTTCCCCTGATGTTAGTATACTCACCTTAAACAATTCGAAAAGCATATGAAACAAATGCGAGGGTACATACACAACCTGAATGGGCCTGCCTGGTGCTTTAGCTAGAAAACATAAATAAAACTTTTAACTGAGAATTAAAGTTAACACAAACGACAGTAAATTTTCTGATTTATATTATTTACTAGAAATGTACAACATCTAAAAATTCAATTAGTTCTCTCACGAAGATTATAATACTAGGAAAGATTCAAGGAAAGAGAAATGGACAACCTGCAGCAATGGAATGGAATTACAGCAGTAATGGCTGCACCATCATAGCAGCCGAAGGACCAAGCTGAGGACATGATTCTCCTGGAGAAAATGTATGTGGCTGCTAAGTTGTTACCAACTGGATGACCCATAAGCAATCAATCAATCAAATCCAAAAGAAAGAAATGGTGGAATGAAAGGAAAAGTATTTTCTGCACCAAAGAAAACTGTTACAGTTCTCTGTTAAAAATGAATTCAGCAATTAGTTTTCATTTAAATAACAATTTCTTGCAATCAATACATTGACAGATTCTTAATATTAAAAAGCAATCATATCTGTATCACCATTGAATTCTTCAATTTCCAAATCAGGTGCGACTTGATAATACTGCTCACACAACATCTTGGCAGTTGCAAAGGCATCTGTTAGGGAACAACAATATAAATCATGTGAGTAGATAATAGTATATTATATACTACAAAATGTAGAAGCTGCAAGTTCTTCTTATCTTTAGACAAAACCTATAAGATTCCAAGTAATGTGAGAGATGCCTAATTGAACTAATATCTTTATTTTAAATCTGCTAAGGGAGAAAAATTTAAGATATAGTATTACTCACACTTACCTGAAGAATAAATTCTATTGAAATCAATGGGAACAATTCTTCCTTAGGCATATGTAAGATTGCACAGCCCAATTTCAGAACCAAAAATGCACATATTAATAAAAGCTTCAAATTTCAAAAGCTACTCCTGCACCTTTCATGAAAACTACCTTAAAATTGTAGACAAAGTAATTATTGGCATCTCACTCATAATGTAGATATACAATACTGTCCAAGAGAATAAAGTAGTTATTTCAATAATGGATTTCCCAGTGCAGCTTCATAGTTGACAAAACTATTTGAACAAGGAAATGGGTATTTAACCCATTATTTCCAATATTCAATGAATGTAACAAGCACAAAAATGTAAATGGATAAGTCTCTAGATCCTACCAATGTATTTCATTGGGGCATTTAAAAAAATATTGAAATAATGACTACTTTTACTACTATATTTTACTAAGAAGAATATATACTTGTTTATATTAAGTATCTCAGGGGCTGCCACAAAGAAGAGGGAGTCAAGCTATTCTCCAAAGCACCTGAAGGCAGGACAAGAAGCAACGGATGGAAACTAGCCAAAGAGAGAAGCATCCTAGAACTAAGGAGAAATTTTCTGAGAGTTAGAACAATTAATCAATGGAACAACCTGCCTCCAGAAGCTGTGAATGCTCCAACACTGGAAGTTTTTAAGAAGAGACAGGACAGCCATTTGTCTGAAACGGTATAGGGTTTCCTGCCTGAGAAGGGGGTTGGACTAGATGACCTCCAAGGTCCCTTCCAACTTATTATTGTTGTTATGTATGTTGTGCCTCCATCTAGAGACAAAAAAGTCAGCTCGCTCCTGAATCAATTTTTGCATAATCAAGCTGAGCAATATTTTTTATTTATTTAAACTTAGGAAGCTATTGCTTCATCTCCAAATATATTGAGGACTACAAAGAATTCTGAAGACAGAAAATTAGGAATAATATAATCTCATTGACTATGAGACACTGATGGGAAAAGGGCCAAGGTCAAGTCCAAAGTGATTAATTACAAATAGGGCAACAATATCTATAACTCACTGCAAAACATAGTTAGCAAAGTTAAAGCCAGACATGATATTGCCTCTGAGCCACTTTACTTGTGTCTTGGTTTAATCATGGTACACCTAAGCCAGTGATGGCAAACCTTTTAGAGACCGAGTGCCCAAACTGCAACCCAAAACCCACTTACGCATTGTTGGGTGCCGAGTGGGTGTGGCCCATTGGCTGGGTGTGGCCAATTGGGGGTGTGTGGCCCATTCGGTGGGCGTGGCTGCGGTGGTAACGGCAGACTGGGTGGGACTAAAAAGTTCAATCAATCAATTCCAACTTTGCAAGATCTTTTTTTTCCCGCGAGAAGTTGAAATTGACTGATTGATTGAACCTTCTTTTTTTTTTTTGCACACGGCAGCGGAAGCCTAAAGCGAAAAGGTTTTATAAAACCCAGGTGAAGGCCTAGGACTGGGGCGAGGGCGCGCGTGCCCACAAAGAGGGCTCTGAGTGCCGCCTCTGGCACCCGTGCCATAGGTTCGCCACCACTGACCTAAGCCATCAGTAACGATATCAAATTTAACCTGAAGTGGGTATGGAAATTTTGGCTGAAAGAATATGACTGATTTTTAACTATAGTTAGCATCAATAATGCAAAGATCAAGCTATCAAAATACAGAAAGAAGAAGCTATAGTGAAGATACACAAGCTCTTTATCAACAGAGATTTCAGTTAACAATGCGATCTAAAAGAATGGAAGGAACGTTTGAACAAAGAATGTATATAAATGAAAGAAGAGAGAGCAGTAAAATGGATTTTAATTGCTATATACCTATCTGCTTTGGAACTGGCGAAAGGAGTGAGATTGAAGGGACTATTTTTAAAACTTTTGACTTGGAATATTAATGATTTGAATAACAATATAAAAATGAGGTGATGAGTTTGTAAGAAACTTATTGAAAGTATTTGAATATTGGAGGTTTCTTTTAAGGAATTATTCATTATGAAAGATTGAAATAGAGTTTTTATTTACTTTAAAAGACTGAAGTAGATTATACAAGGAGAATTTTTAAAAATTAGTTAAAGANGAACTTACTACAAAAAAAGAAAGAGAATATTTTATTATTTGAAGATATTTATATTATTTTAAAGGAGTATTTGAATTAAAGATTGTGATAGAGTTCATATAAAAGAATTTATAAAATTAAAGATTGTATGATTAAATGGGCTCAAAATATTTGAGAATCATATTGGAGATATGGGAAATAATTTGTATTATTATTATAGGTTTTTTTAAATGATAGATAAAGTTTACTTTGTAATTATTTTGATTGGGGATTATGGAAGATTTGAATTAAGAAATGAATAGCAGCAAGATGATTAGCTGTTTTTATTTTGTTGAAATGGCAAAGATTAATTTTAGATATTTGGGTTTAGTGAAGATGGATAGATTATATGTTTAGAGTCTAAATGTATATGCTTATATTTGATTGTTTTTATTTGAGTTAAAGTATGTTTATGTTTGATTGCTTTATATTCGGGTAGTACTATTTAGATTTGGGACGATGTGTGTTTAACCCTGTAATCAGTTCTGGGAAGTCGGGGGTGAGGGGGTGAGAGGGAGGGTAGAGATAAAAAAAAAAATACAGAAAGAAGCAGCAAACTTACTTTGATGAAAACTAATATAGCTACTGAATTTACGATCAGAAATTACATTTGAAATGCAAAGCAATATTATTTTTACTTTTACCTTCTACTACATCAGCCACATTACAAGTAGGATCAATGCTCCCAATATGTTTTGGATGAGCAGGATTGGTGACTCCACCAAAAAGCAGTGCTATGAGGATAAAAAGGCAGAATCAATTGAAATACTATTATTTTTAAACAATAAAAAATTATAGGTTTCTATTCCATGCAAAGGAAAAACAAACCTTGTTAAAATCCTTCATAAAGTAAATATCACCCTTTATAAATTATTAATACTGAAAAATGTGTTTCCAATGATTGTGAAGAAATCCTTGTGCAGACAAAATGTATACTGGTAACAAATACTATGCTCCTTTCTTCAGCAGTACTACTTAAGACTTTTAATTCCTGCATACAACGTACTACAATACAGATTAGCCTAATTGCAGGTTGTATTGAATGAATCCCCTTTACTCAACCTTTTAAATATGTCATGAACAATCATATGAAATGTCACTACGCTCCTCAAAAACATTCACAATCTCTTGGTTTTGAGATTTAGCTCAAGGAAAGACTTAGAGAAAGCTTCCATGGATCTTGTTTCTTAGTAGACTTGTATGGAATTGCTTTGTAATCTATACAGGGCCCAAGACAGATAGATAAATTTGAAAAGAATTAAATGCTCATATCAATAAAACTAGGGATGGAATAGTATTTAATACTAAACATAGAATACATAATTACAACAAACCCACACATTGTTAAAGTCCTATCTGTTACCTATCTCTGTGATTTAATTCATACAGCTAATCAACTTAATATCTGAAAAAAATCAGATTAGCTTTATGCAAACTTAACGAAAAATACTGCAATCATTATTTTATGTCAAGCAGCACAAGTCTCACATGGCTTTGCCAGTGCTGTGTTTTATTAAATATCATTTAATCTGTACATTTCTATTTTTAAAATAAAATGGTCCTGCAGAACATCTTAATAAGCAGTCTTCAGATCAAACCTACTTAAGTTCAGAAAACTGGTATAGTTATGACCTGCTTAATTTCTATTTGGGAGGTTTTAAGACAACCTACAATTCCATACATACATACCGATCATGCTATTCCCTTTGGGGGGTAAGCAAGAGTACGAAAAAAAGAGTAAGAAATAGTAAGACAAAGAAATTAAAGCATGAGAAAAGGAAACAGCTTTCCCCTCAGCTATACACAGTGTCACACACTGCCTTTTTTGTTCAACTTTATTCTTCACTCCACACCACTATCTCCACATGAATCCTTCATAGAGGCAATAAAATTATGTCATTTAGCTAACATTCACTCAGATTCTCAGCCACATAATGGCATCATCCATATACATTCTAATATCTCCCCAAGCTTCCTTATTCATTTATAAATAAACATGGAGATACACTAATCCTTGTCGTATTCTCTACAGAATGTTGACCATTACATTTATTTTCATGTGTGCTTTACTTCCATCATATATCACTCTTATTGCATTTAGCAAACAACTTTCAATTTCATATTTATTACAGAAATAAAAAATAATTTATCAAATGCTTTCTCTAAGTAAACAAATAGATAGCAAACTATATACTATACTAATAAACTGGCAGAAAATATTAATATAATTTGCTAAAAACAAAATCTGATCTGTATGGTCTCTGTCCAGAATAATGTTATACTTCACATATATGGCTCTGCATCACCTCTTAATCTTTTTCAATCAAAATACTGCTAACACCTCACTGGGCACCCTGCACAAACCAATTTTCTTGTAGCTTTTGCAGGCATACTTGCTACTTTTCTCCTTGTGGAATAACATTCTTTCATATATAGGTGCATTTATAATTGCGTAACCACTCCTTAAACAAACCATACCTATATTTTAATGATTTATGTGTCATTAAATCAATGTTAACTCTTAAAGAGCACAGACTGATATTTTCCAGGGTGATCTGTCCCAAGCCTGGCCCTTTACATCCTCCAATTGTGAATCCTTCACCACTGTAATTAAGTCTATCTATCTTGCTGCTGTTTGTCCTCTGAACAGATTTGTCCTAGGATCTATTTGCTTATTTTTTATTTTTCTATATTTTATTTTATTATTCAGGGTGTTTTCCAGAGTCATCTCAAAAAGCAAAGTTCATAAATGCCAATACTTTTTCTATCCTTTTTTTGAAGTTCAACTTTCACATTGATAGAGTGTCACAGGGAAAACTACTTCTTTTGCTTTTCTGATTTTTGAAGAAAAAAGATACACCGGGCATCTGACTATCATTTCCATAATCTTCATTGCTATCCAGGTCTAGGACAACTTGCCCCGGCCATCTCGCCCCAGCCAACTTACTGCGGGACAACTCACCATGGGGACAATTCAATGTACGATAACTCAATGCAAGATAACCACCAGTTTGACATTATTTTAATTTTTGTCATTCATAATTCATTTTGCCCCTCCTTTAGCATTCCTTCTTTAACGATTCTAACCCATCATTTCTTCGATATTATCATTCTTTATTCCCTCTTCCGCTTTAAGGCCATGCCTTCCTGTCCTTGGCTTGGGAAGGGCAGTTGTGGAAAGTTGGGCTGAAAATCTAAATTTACTCACTGACAACCATTTATTACTGCTAAGTCATGATGATAATTCTATTAGGTTTAAAAATGATTAAACTGTCTACTGAAAAATGTCAACTCAAGTGGGCTCAGTATCATTAAATTCAGTGGCATTTATTTCAGAATGTGCAGGCATAAATTCACATTGCCCTATTCAAATGTTTCCTGATCTATACTTGGAACTGCAAAAAGGGCAGCTTTATTTATTTATGCTATTAAGGACAAATTATTTGTTCATTTAATCAATCTGTGATAGATAGGACATATATGCACAAACACACACACAGAAAAATGCTCAGAAATGTTGACTGAGGATATACAAGCACAAGCTTACATGTGTGTTGGTTAGAAATATAAACATTTAAAACATCCACATTTGGTATTTATATCCAAAATTAGATTTCTACAAATGAGAATCAATTCTTAGAAAAAGCATTATTATTAAGATGGATAACATATCCAATACTGATAGAAGAGAATATCTGTAGCTCAGGCTTGAATGCATCCCAATATTACCATTTTTTTTTCATTTTTAAAAAATTCAGCCAAAGCAATTTTCTACAGTCTAAAGCAGGCATGTCAAACTTGCGACATCACATGAAGTTGTGCGACGTATCGCGACTTTTTCCCCATTGCTGGCAATAGGGTGGGCGCAGTTTCGGCGTGATGCATCCGGCCTGCAGGCCAGCAGTTTGACCTGCCTGGTCTAAAATATCAATTAAATATTAATTTTGGCTACTTGGATCATTAGGAAAAGTTACAATAGCAGTTAACAGTGAAAAACAACACCTTGTGCACAATTATTAGGCAAGGCGTATTTTGGAGGATTAATTTTCTTATTGAACAACTACAGTGCTCTCAGTCAAAGGAAAAGTTTATCTACCGTATATACTCGAGTATAAGCCGAGTTTTTCAGCCCATTTTTTGAGCTGAAAAATGCCCCCCTCGGCTTATACTCGAGTCAATATTTTCCCCAGTTCTTTATGGACTTACAATATCCGAGCACCGTTTAAAGAGACGCCGAAGGCAGACGGTGCCCAACTGCGCGCCTTTCCCCCTTGGCGGGGTGGTCTTTTGCAAAGTCTTTTGCTCGGATATTGTAAGTCCACAGCAGTGCGGGCGGCAGCAGCAGCGGCGCCGTCTCCCGCTCCGAATCCCAGGCTGGA